CCCACATCCACGCCCACACCTACACACGCCCACATCCACGCCCACACTCACAGCTAGGGTGGGCCATTTACATTAATTTAAAACTAAATTTAGTTTTTCAATTAACCATTAATATTAATGGTTAATGTTTTTCCTTTAAAAACTTAATTCATTAATATTAATGATTGGTGTTCTCATTAAACATTAATCATCAACATTAATGACTTAATATTAATGATTAAATCATTAATGTTGATGATTAATGTTAAATGAGAATATTAATCATTTAACATTAATCGTCAATATTAATGAGTTAATATTAATGATTTAATCATTAATATTAAGTCATTAATATTAATGAAAACATTAACATGAATATTAATGAATTAAGTTTTTCCACGAAAACATTAACCATTAATATTAATGATTAATGAAAAACATTAATACTAATGATTAATGAAAAAACATTAACATTAATATTAATGTTAATGTTTTCATTAATCATTAATATTAATGAATTAAGTTCTTAAAGGAAAATATTAACCATTCATAATAATGATTAAGTGAAGTCATTAATTAAGTCCCATTAAATAAAATGGTCCGCCCCTACCCACACCGACACCCTTTCAATAAGAATTCAAGTATCGAAAAATATCTGTGGATTTTTGTTAAAAGGTTACTATAAACTCCGTTTTCTCAAATGCTAACTTGATGTTTTGATTATCGTATTTAGATATTCTCATTGCTAAAAAACATCTATTTCGCAATCGTGTTCCATGTGGTTGTGGTGATGGTACAGTAAATTTTGTAGCTCGAACAAATATTGAATATATTCATGATATTGAAATACGTGAAGAAGGTGGAACATCAGATATTATTGGTTCTATTAGAGCTGGTTTAGTTTTTCAATTAAAAGAATCTGTTAGTTATGCACTGATAGAAAAACGTGAAGATGAATTAGTTGAAAAAATTTTTTCGATGTTTTTCAAAAATAAACACATTGATTATATTTGATTCACAAAATGTTCCTTGTCTTGCAATTTTTTCATTTATGATTTATGTACTAAGAATAAAAAAAATATTTACACTATAATTTTATTTCTTTATTATTAAATGATTTATTTGGTATTCAAGTACGATCAGGTTGTGCTTGTGCTGGGCCATATGTTTTAGTAAATAACAATGAATTAAATTTTTTTCAAAAAAAACACAATTTAATACTAGGACTTACTTGGTATTGATGACAAAATAGCAGAAGTTTTTATGATGTTTCCGACGAAAGATTCAAAGTAAAATTTTTTCATTGGAATTAAAACTAAAATAAATCTTTGCTTTTGTTTTTCTTCTAATACCCGAATTGATGAAGAAAAAAATAAATTAGAAAGAAATGTTTTAATGAAACTCGGTTTTACGCGTCTTAATTTATCATATTTTGCAAGTGATAAAGAAATTGATTATATTTTAAATGCTATAGAATTTATTGCTAAATGTGATTGGAAATTTTTATCATTGATATGCTTATTGTTTAACTAATATTAATTAAATCAACATATATGTGTTCTAGTATACATACGAACCTTCCACAGGTGTTTGGCATTATCAACATAAATATGCTAAGAATCAATTATCGAATTATTATAGTTTAAAACAAATTAATTATGAAAATAGACATATGAAACCGAATAATTCAGAATTTAATAAACAAAATACAACTTTTTCATCAATCAAAGGATATTTCTATACTAAATGATATTTTTCACGAAGTTGAATTAATTGCAAATGATGTTATAAAAACAAGTTCCTGACTATCAACATGATCCATAATTAAATATTTTAGATAAATACCAACATTTCGTTTGGTTTGCTTTACCAAAAGATATTGTTGAGATGAAAGGATACATTGCAGATAATAAGACATTGTCTTCATCGACTGCATATCATGATAATAATTAAACGAGTTCATTTCACATATTTATTATATAGTTTTTTTTACAAGAAAATATTTGAAGAACTTCGTTCTAATGATTTGTTCGATCATGAAAACTCAACTGTTTACTCTCTACAGCAATGTTAGAAAAGTTACTGATAAAATAGCTTTGTACATATAGTTTAAACCCTGATCATACTCGCAATTTCTAATAAGTTACAAACACTCTTAATATCAAGTAAATCTAATTTATAATAATATGTAAACCGAGCTGTTGTGGCAGATCGAAGATTCATCTATTGCTATTTGTGTGTTTTTCGTCATGCTAAATGTCCGCGTATATATCATTCACTCACTCTTCATGCATTAGAAAATATCAGCAAATGATCGTTGCATGCAAGATGAAAATCAGTTGTCTATAGGTCTTGTATTTGACTACCTGTACGCGTTTCATTAACCCTAGTACTATCAGCCTATTTTAAGCACTATACTGACAAAATACCTTTTCATAGAGTGATTCTTTTTACTCCTGCATTAATGTTCTGAGCAGATGGAGGATGGCAAGTCCTTCCTGCCCCCAATAACCAGAAATTTTATATTTTTCGGTCGAAAACTTTAAAAATTTTTAAAAAACCGGAAAAATTATAAAAATGATATTCTTTTTTTTATTTGGCACAGTTAGCACAATAAATGATTTTTACAGAATGTTCATTACAAACAAATTTGGAACAACGAGAACATTGAATTGAAGTTTTTTTATCCTTTGGATCTTCACAAATCGAACATCGTTTTCGTTTTTTTGATTGTGTAGAATTTCCATTTGGTTCTGGTAGATTTTTCACCATAGGATAACCGACAATAGCTAATGCGTGTTCAATATCTTTATTCAGAAATTTCGACGTTTTTGACCAAAAAATCCAGAAGATCCGATACTAAACTTAATCCTAATTCTTCCAGGAATAATCGACGTTGATATTTTTTATTTTCATTCCATTGAGGATTTTTCGTCTTCCATATGACCAGAGCATTTATAGCACCAATATCTATCATTCCAAAAAAGATACAAAGTGGCCATCGCTTTGTACCTCTTTTCACCTACAGAAAATAAAATGTAGAAATATAAAAAAGAAATCTTCTTTTACTGTATATTTATGACACATTTGATCGACAGTATCGACAGCTCCTTTTGTTTTATTATAGTCCAAAATAATAATTGGCTTTCCAGTTTTTATATCCACTTGATTATCATGATGTTTTGAGGAAAGTACTAATACAGCTTTATTTTGTTTGGGTACAAATGAAACTAAAGTTAGATCATCTTGAAAACCAAATAGTGAAGAACCAATCTCACGATTTTTATTTGACTGGAATTCCATAGGTATTTCTGGTTTATTTTTTCGTAATGTTCCTATAAGAGTCAGGTTCCTCATTTGAAGTTCTTTGGCTAATTGAACACTTGTAAAAAATTTATCAATTGTAACATTTCTATTTGAACCATATAGTGGTTTCAGCAATTCTAAAACAACACTGGCACCTATTTTTGTTTGTCTTTCTTGATCTGGTTGTCGTCCAAGGTAAGGAAATGCATTGAATACATAATATGTTTGTACATCAACACATAACCAAAACTTCAATCCATATTTATCAGGTTTTTTCAGAATAAATTGACGAAACGGACATTTTTCTCTAAAAGGTAATAGCTGTTCATCAATCGTAACATAAGGTCCTGGTACATAACATGTTTTTATATTGTCTTCGAAATCTGACCAGATTTCACGGATTGCTGCAAATTTATCGGTTTTTTTCCTTTCTTCTCTTGTTGTTTTATCATCGAATCTTAAACAGGAGATAATTTTTTCAAAACGGCTTCTTCCCATAGTAGCTTTGAATATTGGAGACTCCAACGGACTTCTTTTCCATAATGATTTAATGTTTTTTTTCGATTTTCCTAATAAACCAGCAAGTAAGAAAAGTCCAATAAAAGCTTTTAGTTCCATCATTGTTATATCTTCTGATTTTTCATTGGAAGCGATATTTCGAGTACGTTCCATATTAGAATAAATCAAAATTTTTTGTATAATTTTTTCCGATATAAAACAAATAAATGCATCTTGAATAGATGATACATCTTCCGTGAGTTTGGTAGGTCCAGCCTTTTCACTTGTATCATTTGAAGACTTTGCTTTCTTTGAAGGATACGGAATTGAAGACCAGGTGATTCCGGATTTGGAACTATATAAACTTTTTGGAGTAGAATCGTCGTCTAATTTAAGATTTTCTAAATCAATTTCATCATCTTCTTCTGATGTTTGACTTTCAGCGTCTTGCGTTTCCGAAGCACTTCCTTGGTCATAAGAATCTTCACCATCACTTTCATCTTCAATCTAACTGTTCATAATTGTTTTATAATATTCTGAACAGTTTATTCAGATTGTATATGAAAAAGAAATTTCAATCTATAAAAGAGATGTAAATAAAGACGCACTAGATGAACTACTATCAGCTAAAGAAAATAAATTGGTATATAAAGTTGAGTATGAAAAAAAAAGATCAATAAATAAGAACTTCAAAAGAAAAAAAAAGAGAGGCAAGTCATCCATAATTGAATGAATCATCTACCATCCTAATTGGATAGCTGGTAACCACTCTAAAAGATTGAATTTTAATGGTTAGAATAGTAAATGAGTCATTGAAAATTTAACTTGTTCTCCTTTCTTCTTGTATGAGTATTGCCTATTGAAGACATGATATCGTATCGAAGACTTCTAATGATATAAAAAGCAAATACTTCTTTTTAGATTCGACAACACATTAATTTGTAAGAGATACTAGTAGAGGGAGCGTGACCCATCATCTTCCTGAATATCGGTTGCTTCCAAAAACCAGGATATAACAAAATATTTTAAGTGTATTTTCACATTTTTACGTATGGGTCAAAAATGACCCAGGCTGGTAGTACTAGGGTTAATTACAACACATCTTATTATACTCATTATTTAAAAGCATACATAGTTTGAACTGTCTCATGTAAGAAATATTTGATTGCCGACATGGCCTCAAATTCTAGATATTTCATCATTTCACTATTGAAAAGCTACCATATCTCGTACTGCTTGGGTATGGGTGTGGGTGTGGCTCAATCTTCTTGACACCCCGTCCACACCCACAGCCACACCTGCACTCACATCAGCACCCACACCCACACCCACACTCACACCTACACTCACACTCACACCCACACCCACACCCACACCCACACCCACATCCACCCACACCCACACCCGCATCCAAAGCGGCGTCAATGTGGAGTAAATTTTTAATGTCACAAGGAAATCTATAAGTATGGCACATCAATTTTTCAGTATTCTCTATTTTTTTCTTTGAATAGCAAGTGATGAAATTGAGAGATATTGGAACTCAGTAGTGCTTGAAGATTGGCATGCACACTTACTATTAATAGATCTATAGTACATGTTTTGAAAATGGGAAAAGGATCTTTGCTCATGTATGTGAGGAGGATCTATAATTTTGGGAATCCCTGTACATATTATTTGATCACAGGTTACCAGTCGAACCGAAATTGGAAATTTTGAAGAGAAAAACATCATCATTCCGGCAATACTGGATCACTCTCAACGTGATAAAATGGTAATTTTGAAAGAAGAAAAAATCCATATCAAATCGATACTGACAATGGGTCAGGGAAAAGCCACATGAGATAAATGAAGTATTTTGACTAGGGGTTGTGAACACGAGCTGAGGTTGACCAATGTCGGCTCGAATCAAAAAGTTTCATCAGATGACTTACATATCAACAAATCTCAAAGATCTTTCCCTTACTTAAAGATAGTTGAATGGCAACCGATTAAATGAAATAATCTTTATGCGAGTATCGAGGATATGAGAGGAAAAACTTTCTCTAAAGTTTTTTCGAAAACTCTCTTCATTTTTAGAATGTCTATCGACCAATGATTTTGAACAGTATGTTTTAGCGAAGAGCTTTATTTGGTATTTTGCAAGAACGGAGGTACAGCAGGAAACATGAAATTCTCAGTGTTTCTCTACAAAACGACACACCGTCTTTTTCTTGATGGTTTATCAAGTTTTCCATCAAGTAACCCTTTTACTAATTCTTTGGCTATCAATTGCATCTCCTTTTCCTGTCTTTTCTTCGCGAGAAAGCGTGCCTGTCTTTCAGCCAACACTTCAGGACTGAGACTAGCAATATCGGCCATAATACTTTTTACAAGTTGATGATCATTCCCATAGAAAGACTGAAGTACGAGGAGACCCTCGTTAAAGTATTCTGCAGCTTCGGTCATTTTACCCATCGCTCTATATAGATGACCGACATTCTGCTGTGCCAGACCAAGACCTTGGTGACCGTGCGATAATTCAGTTTGAAAAAGTTCAAGCGCTTTTAAAGCGAAGTTCAATGCTTCAGTGTAGACGCGACGCTTCCAGTATGCCTTTCGTATAGCATCGAACAAACGCACCATTATTCGCGAGTCAACTGGAGGTGAGAGGTCCTCCAACATAGTCAAAGCGGTGTGGTACTGTTCCATCGAGGTGTCTGGACATTGGTCCTCCAACAAACTGGCCATTATCATCAATCTCATTGCAACTCGTTCTGTTTGCTCACCATGTTCTTGTTGCTCCTTTTGCAATTTAGGACCACAAATGAGGAAAGCTTCGGCATACTTCTTTCTTTTTTT